ACTTGCACTTGGTTGAATGAAAATAGATTCAAGAGAAATTTTCGAATTTTTCAAGAGAACCAGTTTTCTTGAGTTAAGGGAATTTTTCTTCAGGCAAAATATTTTCATTTACGCTAAAATAAATTCTCTTGCCACTAATTTTTTTTTCAAGAACGATGACGACTTTAGTTCAAGTATATATATAAACGGGATTTGGTTTAAGTATTTAATACTCATTTCCAACTACAGCCTATTGCTGCCTTCCCGTTACCCTACGCCACACATCTCGATTTAGAGCGTCATCAGCTTCTAGGTTACGAGCTTCCATTGCTTCCGTAACCGTTCCGTTCCAGGATTTTCTAGGTCTACCTCTCTTTCTTCTGCCCTGGGGAGCCCATTGAAAAACTCTTTTTGGCCACCTGTTCTCCTTTAGTTCAAGTCTATCTTTTTTATCAGTGCAATAATAGATCAGTACAGGTCGCATAGGTACTGTAGGTAATGGTATAAACTAATATCCACTTGATGAAATCGAACATCACGAGTCTTTAGTGCATATATATTACATAACCCAGTCTGTAATCTTACAGCCATAAAATTATTAACGATGCATTCACAATAACAGCACGGATGGATACAGCGCTGCAACTCAAACATTCTCCGATGACATCGAAGGTCGTACGGAGTGGTTGTGGTTCGCTAGTGGTACCCTCCGTTCCCCGCCTCACCAATCGGTAGTACGGTACGACCGAACCGCAGATCAGAATCAATGCAGTGAAACAGACAGAGACGGAACTGAAAAGTTTGCAATGGGAATGCGATTATCTAATAGAATAAATAAAATGTCAGCTAAGGCCTTCGACTATACGCCCACGAATCGTCGACGTTGCCAAATTTATTTAGCGTCAAAAGAGGGGCGAAGGGGAGAGTTGGGATGTGGTTACGTAGCGAAACAGACACAGACGCCGTTAATGAAGGTCGCAGTGTTGTCAATTCGTCAAGAAAAATTTCCTCAAAAATAATTTTTAACTTTCTAAACTCCCCGATAACAAACAAAAAATATATACAGGGTGAGTCTTAAATCAGTGCAAATATTTTCAGGCCTTGTAGATCTCGGTAAAAGAAACATATTTTTTCTTTCTTTTTTATTTTACTTTGAAAATTTCAAAAAAAAATGATTTTTGCTTAAATTTTCAGAACCACTGGATCTTTGGCTGGTAGATCACAATAAAAAACAGATTTTCTCTTTACCGTTTTTCAAATACGTCCAAAATAACCGAGTTACCTAATACCTTGAAAATAAAAAAAATATATAAAATTTTGAGAACCACTCAATCTTTTCTTGGTTTTCTTTCTTGTAAATTTAATTTACTACCTCTGTTCCCATATTATCAAGAAATACCCGTAAACACAATTATTATTAATTTAAAAAAAGTCCTACCAAGTTAACTTTACGTTGAAACTGGTGAAACTCTGTACAACCTGGCAACGCCGTAAGGTCGACCCGCGCTCTAGACTAGGAAGTACCACCAAAGCGTATTCGAAGAACATAAAAGTCAGAGGTTTTGTTAAGGATTGCGTGGGCGGTACCTATACTCGCATGAATAGTACCGGATTAAATTTCGAAGGCTTGTTATGTTTTTGGCGCGATTTTTTTAAATCCCTCTCGACATTCCAGCCTCTCTTGACTTTTGACGTCTTTAAATAGATGGATTATTATTATAATTATTATTAATATTAGTTCAAATCCAAAGCATCGGTCGTTCAAAATGATTGATGATCTTCTGATGTAGTGTTAGATAGGTTTTTTTGGCAGCTTTTATTTTTCTTGAAATGCTCGTATGTAAGTTGTCTGTTGACCGTAAAAGAATAGAGTGGATATCTACGACAAAAGACCCAGGTAATAAATGTCATCCACAGATTCAAATCCCTCAAATGACAATGGACAGGACACCTGGCAAGAAGAACGGACAACAGAATGGGCCACAAAAATTACAGTATGGTACCCACGAGGAAATAAGAGACCTAGAAGGCCGAACCTGAGATGGTACCATGATATTAGGATTAGGAAATTAGCAGGGATAACTTGGGCCCGCATAGTCAACAATAGACAACAATGACCCCAGAATGGGAAAACATACCCCAAGACAACGTTGATAATTTAATAAAAAGCATGCCAGCGCGGTTAGAAGCTTGTATAAGGGCTAGACGTGGCAACACGAATTATTAAAATTATCAATTTTCTTTTTATTTTTGCTTTTTGACAATTAAAAATTTAAATCTCATTTCGTTTCAGAAACCAAAAAAATACATTATCGTATATTTTTCATTTTATTGACTTTATGGAAAGCACTATTCATTAAAATGTTGTATCCTATGTTATAGGGCTTGTTTCTCTCTACAATTTCCTGTCTCACAATGTACCGTTTGTGTCCAGGAAGAGTTCATAGTTTCGTAGATGTCGATTTTCGAAAGAAATCAGTACATGTATATTATTTCGTATTCATTTTATTGATTTTATGAAAAGCACTGTTCATTAAAATGTTGTATCCTACGTTATAGGGCTTGTTTCTCTCTACAATTTCCTGTCTCACAATGTACCGTTTGTGTCCAGGAAGAGTTCATAGTTTCATAGATGTCGATTTTCGAAAGAAATCAGTACATGTATATTATTTCGTATATTTTTCATTTTATTGATTTTATGGAAAGCACTGTTCATTAAAATGTTGTATCCTATGTTATAGGGCTTGTTTTTCTCTACAATTTCCTGTCTCACAATGTACCGTTTGTGTCCAGGAAGGGTTCATAGTTTCATAGATGTCGATTTTCGAAAGAAATCAGTACATGTATATTATTTCGTATATTTTTCATTTTATTGATTTTATGGAAAGCACTGTTCATTAAAATGTTGTATCCTATGTTATAGGGCTTGTTTCTCTCTACAATTTCCTGTCTCACAATGTACCGTTTGTGTCCAGGAAGAGTTCATAGTTTCATAGATGTCGATTTTCGAAAGAAATCAGTACATGTATATTATTTCGTATATTTTTCATTTTATTGATTTTATGGAAAGCACTGTTCATTAAAATGTTGTATCCTATGTTATAGGGCTTGTTTTTCTCTACAATTTCCTGTCTCACAATGTACCGTTTGTGTCCAGGAAGAGTTCATAGTTTCATAGATGTCGATTTTCGAAAGAAATCAGTACATGTATATTATTTCGTATATTTTTCATTTTATTGATTTTATGGAAAGCACTGTTCATTAAAATGTTGTATCCTATGTTATAGGGCTTGTTTTTCTCTACAATTTCCTGTCTCACAATGTACCGTTTGTGTCCAGGAAGAGTTCATAGTTTCGTAGATGTCGATATTCGAAAGAAATCAGTACATGTATATTATTTCGTATATTTTTCATTTTATTGATTTGATGGAAAGCGCTGTTCATTAATATGTTATATCCTATGTTATACGGCTTGTTTCTCTCTACAATTTCCTGTCTCACAATGTACCGTTTGTGTCCAGGAAGGGTTCATAGTTTCATAGATGTTGATTTTCGAAAGAAATCAGTACATGTATATTATTTCCAATATTTTTCATTTTATTGATTATATGGAAAGCACTGTTCATTAAAATGTTGTATCCTACGTTATAGGGCTTGTTTCTCTCTACAATTTCCTGTCTCACAATGTATCGTTTGTGTCCAGGATGAGTTCATAGTTTCATAAATGTCGATTTTCGAAAGAAATCAGTACATGTATATTATTTCGTATATTTTTCATTTTATTGATTTTATGGAAAGCACTGTTCATTAAAATGTTGTATCCTATGTTATAGGGCTTGTTTCTCTCTACAATTTCTGTCTCACAATGTACCGTTTGTGTCCAGGAAGGGTTCATAGTTTCGTAGATGTCGATTTTCGAAAGAAATCAGTACATGTATATTATTTCATGTATACATTGTGTTTATTTTGTGAGATTTTGCCGCCAATTATATACTTAAGTTACCCAATGCAACAGAACTGACATAATTTGTGATTTATTATCAAATTAAACTATATATTTATTAATAATTTACCCACATAGCGAATGCAGCTGGTATCCTCGTGATATGTTTACGTTTGCAGCAAAAATAAGCTGTTTATCTGTTTGTTTAGCATACATATTTCGCGCACCTACCGAAAAAAGATAAAATCTTAGCCTATCCTAACCCAAAATCAATAATGCGACCAGCACTTTACAATTATTTTGACTTTATTCAAGTGTGAAGAACGTTTGGAATAGTTTGGATATAAAAAACGAGTTAAAATATGTTTAAAATTTCGGAAATTCCTTAAAACACTTTATCTTATCACTGGCATTCCCAACACTTATTACAAAAATTATTTAGCTAAGTTTTTGTATAATTTGTTTATTTTAAGAGTCCATCATTTCACTAGGCCGAAAAAGTAGCAAAATAAGCGTTCGGCATTTAACGTTTTATGTAAAACTGGCAAGATATTTTTACACAAATGAAGAAGGAAATTAAAGATAAAGGATTATACTATATCCGTATTGTAGCACATTTTTAGACAACTTCTTTATTTTTTAGATTTTGATGGTCAAACATCAACAAAATATTCCTTATGTTTGGGCTAAATTTTCTCGAAAATAAAGACGTAATTTAAAATTCCGTCACAATACGGAAATAGATTGAAGTTTTGTGCTTATATTGATGTATAATTTATATGGTTTTGTAACAAATTACTCGCTATTTTATGGCAAATGCTTAAGCTCTGCAAACCTTAATCAAAGCAAATGTGTTTGGAATTTTGGGTGCGACTTAACACCACAGGATCGAACAGTACAGCGTAATAGACTCTTGACATGGGAGGTGTTTACAAAAAATAGCTTTTTAGTTTTGTTATTTCTTCTAATTTTTATTAGAATTACTTCTTTTTCTTCTAAGGAAAAATAGATGTATATTTTTAATTATGAGATGAGATAAGCTATAAGGTATTAACGATAGTTTGTTTGTTGTTTGCAGATGCTGTCGGTGGTGAGCGCCGGTGCCGCGGCTGGAATGGGCGGCATGGACCGGCTGCGAGGCGGCGGAAGGGCGGCGGCCAGGGAGCTGGCCGCCTCCCGCGACCGGCAGGTGCGACTCCACGCCGTCAGGACGGACCTGGCCCTCGACCTGCCGCCCAGCATCGCGCTGCCCGACGGCGAGGACAGGAGGGCGGCAGCCGCCCACGCCAGGCTCCACCTCAGGGATACCGAACAGGTCAGCCACTTTTTTCTACCTCTACCTATATCTGTACCCCAGAAGCAAAGTATATATAAAGTCACAAAACATGGTTGTGAGAAAAACGAATTTAAAGTTCTTTGTTGAAGTTATTGCAAAATTACTCGGTTATTTTTAGGGTTCCGTACCCAAAGGGTAAAAACGGGAACCCAATTATAGTCTGTAAAATTAACTTTGAATTTTGACCGTTATTTTTTACCAACATGGCAAATATAAAATCCCTCTGTCAAAAAAGTTACTGATATTCTTTAAACTGAGTGCTTGAACGAATCAGATAGGTACTCTTTTTACTTTCGTGAAATAAAAAAGGAAAATAATAAAACAAGTGACAGTTCTTCTTGCAAAAATCAACACGAATTGTCAAAAATAAAATGTCATCAGATTTTGACATTTCTAAATATCAGATCAATGCCGTCTCTAATAGAACAGCCTCGGAGCGAGATTTATGACGTCACGCTAGTTAGATACTACGGATTAATAAATATGTTGTAGAATACATGGAAAACATAATTATTCTTCGTATTTTTGGTTTGTATTTTTAAAACGATATAGTTTACATGAAATATACATAATATACAGTTAATAAATACAATATAAATACCTATTTATAGTAATAAATACTTTGGCAAATAAACTATGAACCATACAAATGCAGCAAATGTTTTACAATATACAAATAATGAATAGGTACATAAAATAATGGGTAAAATTGAATGCGCGATTAAAACAACAAATTACAACAGATTATATATTGATTATTATATGACTTGAAACACCACGGCACTGGAATTAAGTTTTATGTGACCTTGAACATATTAGTTCACATGGTAGCGACCGATGAATCACTCCCAAACATTCGTGGCGTTTACTATAGTAATTTAAGCTTGATTAAATTAAAATTATTAATTTCAGTGGCAATGGATAACGTGCACATACCTTTATTCATAATGTCGAAACTTTTTATCTAATATATTGTTTTTCTATTTTCGTAGGAATCCGAAATCTACCAAAAATGCATCCGACCGCCCCCCAACCGGACGGTGATGGACGGCGAGTCCCCGCCGCCGTACCGCTCGAGCTCGGCGGGCGTGCTCGCCTCCTCCTCCTCCTCCACCTCGTCGTCCACCTCCTCCACGGGGGTGGGAAGCGACTGGTCGTCGGGTGGCAGCGGCGGGGCGTCCTGCTTCGTCCGCTGCCACTCCATGTCCTCCACGTCGTCCACCTCCAAGACGCTGGGGACAAGCCACCACCACCATCACCACCAGCATACGCCTGGCGGTGCCCAAAAGACTGATTTTTTACAAAGAACTGTTAAGATTTTCACGGGGAAAAAGACTACTACTACTGCGACGTCGGCGACAAGTTCTGTGACGTCGACGACGACAGCTCCCTGCGTCATAGTTCCAGTTACGCGGCAACAGCAACAGCAACAGCCGAAGAAGGATGGTGGAGGGCACAAACCGCCCGTCTGACAAACGCCTCAAGTTTAGACGAGGATATTAACGGGGAGATACGTTTAGTTTATTCCATTTTGTTCGTTCGATCGAATTGTGCTGTCTGGCCAAGCCCGAATTGTGCGTGACGCTCTTCAAAATAATTTGAAGATCAGAGAAATGTTAGTCTGTTCAAAATCATCCTGTAACTAATGTTAGTGTTTTATTTGAAGCTCATAAGAATATTTGCTTTCTTTTTTTTAATATAATCTCTACGCTTCGTACTTTAGTATGAAGAATAGAGCATCTGGTTCAAATATTAAGTATAAATCAAGAGCAGACTTTCTAGATGCAGTTTGTCCATTTTTTAGAATTCAGATAGAGAAAAACTGCTAAGCTTTTTGCAAGAAACTTACCGAAAGTACATGTGAAATTTCTCTTTATTTTTCTGCTACCACGGTCCGTATTCCCCAACTACATGCTCCCCAGTCGTAGCTCCATTCATTTTTTTAAATAGTATTATTCAAAAAATAGAGATGTTGTAGTACAAAAAAAAGCACTCTTCATCTGGCAATGACAAACAAACAGCAGTATGTTCACAGTAAAAAAGGACATACTTCTGTTTGTTTGTCTACCGCCAATGGACATACAGTACATAGAAAGTCTAAGGTATTTTGCCATTTGAAAATTTTAAAAATGGACAAAATGTATTTAATAAGTCTGCACCTCAAATACAGATTGTTTTTTGTTAAAATCTTAGGTCATGTAATATCTAGACACTTTCTTTACGTTGTAATTTTATAACCAACACTACTGTATGATGTGACGTCATTTCAGTGAAAAAAGCTGAAAGCTTTGTGTCTTCGTTCAATATTGACTAGTAGTGTCATTCAAATTTAAAAATTTACAGTTTAGTTTATTTAAAAGTATCTTATAACCAACAAAAATATCTTTGACTATATTATAAAAGAGAAAATATTAAATTTTCTTAAATCTAATAAGGACAAACCAGAATTTCTAGTCCAAATATTAGAGTCTTACTTCAGGCCTAAAATTGATATCTTAAACTATAGCATTAAAACTCTAGGTCACACTTAATATCGGCACTTTTTCAATTTCTGCAAAAAAATTCTATTAACAATTAACACAGACCAGTTATAGCCTTTTTAACCCCTATCGTGACTAGGGAATGCAATCCCGCACCAAAATCTCAATCCCGCAAACCCGCGGGATTAAAGCAATCAATCCCGCGGATCCGCAAAATTGCCGGACTGTAAACAATAGTCATACATTTGGTCCCAAATGGTACAAAAGGCATTGTACATTTTGCATAGGCCCCCAATGTATTGATATAGCGTGTATCTTAAACTAGCTGTACAGAAATTTGGACCGATTTATACAGGGTGTTCAAAAAATATATTTCATATTAAATAAACTTAAATTTTATTATAATTTATCTACTTAGATTATAAATAAAAATATTATTCTGATGTTGAAATTTTTTTTAACTTGTGTTAGTTATCTGCTTTTAGATACACTCTATATCAATAATTTTTTGGCATTTGCAGAATGTACAAAGCTTTTTGTACTACTTAGGACCATACGTATGATTAAAAATGCATATTTTTCGAAAAAAAGTCAAATTTCCTTAATACAAAACAAATTAAAAAACCGATCAAATTGTTTTTTCTAATTTCAATACAGATTAGTCGTACTTGGTAAAAATTTCGATTTTTTAAAACTCGTAAATTTGCTGTAAAAAAGATTCTTGACCAAATTTTCATTCTCTTATAAAACACCCTGTATACGAGAATTTGCTAAATATATTTTCGAAAACCACATAGCATCTTAATCACAATAGATGCATCTAAAACCTGGTTCAAACCGCAACCCAAAATCTTTTTTAGTTCAAGAGATATTCAACTTTAAATTTACCCTAAAATTTAGCTTGTCCCTATAATTATGTCCGGCAGTTTATTTGACGAAATTGTCCACAAGTACTAGTTAAACGGGTCCCCCAGGTTCCGAGCGTCGACTCTTCGGCCCGGAACGAAGGGGTTTGACCTTGATCGAGATCGATTCGGTTACCAAGTAGTAATGTGTCAATCCCGCGGATCCCGCACGATAAATCCCGCAACTTCGATCCCGCGGAATCTCAGAGGGATCCCGCATTTACGGGATCCAGCATTTGCGGGATTGCATTCCCTAATCGTGACGTCACATCTGATAATAGATTATCTAGTAAAGACTGTGTCTAGTAGTATTTCATGACCTAATATCAAATTATTATTTATCATTTATATATATAATAAAATTCTAGTCAATGTTCTTTCCAAATTCTATACTTTAAATTGACATAAGCTGACTAACAAAAATTATTGACTGGTGAAGTTTGAACAGATCATTTAAAAATAATAAATGTTGGATTGACAGTTCGGGCTGAACCGGAGGAAGAATAGAAGAGAAAAAGAAGTATAAATAAAACGCATTAAATTATATTTAGATACATATATGTTTAATGAATACGCGACAGGACGTTTAGTATATATAATGAAGAAAAATATTTATATCAGTGATAGAAGAAATAAATAAAACACTTTTTAATGTGGTTCAGTGTACGAAATGCAAGGACTCCATGGTGGAAGGTCGCTGCACTAACTCCGTATTTAACTAATTTAAAACTTTGACGATTGGCGGCGATAACAGGCCAAATGTTTGTTGAATATGTGTACTGTGTACATGATATAATGTAGGTACTATACCTCTGGAATACCAATTAGAGACCTTAAATTCAGATTCAGTTTTTTTTTCTAAGTAATTTCATTATTATTGACTTAGATCAAAGTTTAGCCCATCTCTAATAGTGTTTCTGCGGTACCAAACAAGTATTTTGCGTTTTGTCACAGCTATAGTGCTAGATAAATTGTTTTAAAGATATTTTTATCAAATTTTGACTGAATTTGTGTAGAAAAATAGCACTCATCCCGTCAAAAATCAATAAATACTTTGTGTAAAATGTGTGTAGACCTCAGAGACTATGCGTAGATTCCTTTGTATATTTTGTAAAGTAATTTTATTAAGTATTGACTTAAATCAAAGTTTAGCCTCATCTCTAATAGTGTTTTTGCGGTACCAAACAAGTATTTTGTGTCTTGTCACAGCTTTAGTGCTAAATAAACTATTCTAAAATAAAATTTGTGTAGAAAATAGTAGGAATGCTGTCATAATTTACCAATGCAGTTAATACCTCTATAAGCTTCAAAATTTTTGGTTAAATTCCAATTTAGCCCCATCTCTAATAGTGTTTCTGCGGTACCAAACAAGTATTTTAAGATTTAAAAGATTTAAAAGTAATTTTCCTCAAATTTTTACAGAATTTCTGTAAAAAAAATTATATTAAAGCTGTCAAAAAACAGTAGATAGTTTCTTGATGTAGCACATACCTGTATAATACGTATTAGAGACTCTGTATCATTTTCAGATTTAATTATCATTATTATTGACTTAAAAGACCCATGTCTAATACTGTTTCTGCGGTACCAAACAAGTATTTTGCATTTTGCCACAGCCCTAGTGCTAAATAAAAGATTTTAAAGTAATTTTCTTCAAATTTTGACAGAATTTCTGTAAAAAAATTATACTAAAGCTGTCAGAAAACAGTAGATATTTTCTTGATGTAGCAAATACTTCTATAAAACGTATTAGAGACTCTATATCATTTTCAGATTTAATTATCATTATTATTGACTTAAAAGACCCATCTCTAATAGTGTTTCTGCGCTACCAAACATGTATTTTACATTTTGCCACAGTTCTAATGCTAGATAAAAGATTTTAAAGTAATTTTCTTCAAATTTTGATAGAATTTCTGTAAAAAAATTATACTAAAGCTGTCACAAAACAGTAGATAGTTTGTTAATGTAGCAAACACCTCTAGAATACGTATTAGAGATTATTACATTATTATTGACTAAAAAGACCCATCTCTAATAGTGTTTCTGCGGTACCAAATAAGTATTTTGTATTTTGCCACATCCCTAGTGTTAGATATATGATTTTAAAGAAATTTCCATGAAATTATAACCGAATTTGTTTAAAAAATAGTACTCAAGCTGTGACAAAATTGTGAATAATTTCCAGTGGAGATGTTATAACCTTAAATCAAAAAAAGAATAAACATATTTGGCATATTCGCCGCCGAATCTCAAAAGATATTCCAGTTAAAGTAAACCAATTATCTATTAATTAGTAGAACGTTGTTCTGTTTTTAAATATTGTTTATTAAGAGGAAATCAAGATCCCTAAAAGGATCCCACGACGATATGTTGAAATATACACATTTTTTTAATTAGTAGAAAATTTCTGACAAACGCACAAATTTTTTGTGTCATTCTTGAACTTACATATATGATTAATCAAAAATATACAGTTTTTTTCTTGTGGAAACTGTTTCAACAGATCGTTGGCTAGGCGCACTAGAAAGAAGACTTAGAGAATTTGTCTAATGCAAATTTATTTTAACAATTTTTTTATAATTATCGCTATGAAAGTGTTCATTGTATACTTTAAGAGATTTTTAGTATCATTATTTATCCAATTCTTTAATTTTTCACTCGATTTTTGTCGTCTAATATCGTGAAACAATATATGTTTCAAAATTTTATTTTGTAGAATGACGTAAAAGACAATTTTTTTCAAAAATGTACAGGATGGTCCGAATTGTATTCGATAAACTTCGGCAGCATAAAAATAAGTAAAAAAAGTTCGTATAAATTTATGTCTTAAAATGATTAGTTTTGGTGATACAGGGTGTAGAAGTTTCATTTTTGTTTCAATGTTTTCCAAATAATTTCTGAACTATAATTTTCAATTCCAAATATCTCAAGAACCATTGCTCGAAGCAATTTTTACCAAGACACTTTTTCTACGTAAAAAATGTCGTAAATGTATATTTTTTACTCAGTAGTTTTATACAGGTACGGACGAAAAGTTATTACTCTTTCAACCAGTTTAAAAATATGTAAGTGGCGCCCTGTATAAGTAGGAGTCATATTGACATCAAATTCAAACTTTTCATGACAAAAAACTCCCAGACACCAAAATATTGATGTTAGTTCACAAATTATTTGGAAAAAATCGAAATAAAAATTAAACTTCTACACCCTGTATCTCCGAAACTAAGCATTTTAGAACATACATTTATACGAACTTTTTTACATATTTTTATCTGAAGAATATACTGCCAAAGTTTCCCGAATACATTTCGGACCACCCTGTATATTGTTTCATCGGATTTTTATTAATAACATAACACCCTGTACATTAGTATCTCTCTAGACTAAACTAATTAAAAATATTTAGTCTGTGTTTCTGTATTTGTATAAGTTAAAGTCAAATAGATAGGTCATAAAAATTTGTGGTAAACTAAATAAAAAAATATATTTGCGTAGATATTTTGCAATGGCTGTTCTGCACCGGATATATGTTTATGTTTTGTGTCTAAAAATGCAGACTGCGAACAAAACCGAGCTATTTTTAACAAAATTACTTAACCAAAACCGATGAAAATAATTAGGTATTTGTTTAGTCTAGTCTTTGCGCTAATTGTACTGCAATCGAGATATACAGACATTTTTTTTTAATATTAAATCGCCTAATGAAACCGGCAAAAATTTTATTTGCTTTTTAATCGTTATCAGTAGACGCAAATAATGTTTAATTATTTCAATTTTTAGAAATGCCAGGCTAAATCGTTTTGATATAAACACTAATTACATAAAAAATCTATTTTTAACTAATCCGTGAAAGATATTTAAACAAGAATTTGACATTGTTAATTTAAAACAATAATTGGGTTAAAAATAAACTAAATCTGCTTTATGATAAGGATTTAGAGATATCTTTTGTTAGTGTTTAGTAAGAAAAATATTTCTTTTGTGAGATTCCTAAAAGTAATTATTTTTAAACTTAGAGATTTTCAATTTTTTAAATCAATGAAAGAATATCAATGACATAGGTTAAAAAAAATAATTTTCTTTGTTTTTCTTTTAGTTTTTGTTAATATCTGTGCGTAGATTTCTTTTTTCCTCAAGTAATTTCATTAATTCCTATCTCTAGTAGTGTTTCTGCGGTTCCAAACAAGTATTTTACATCTTCTCACAACACTAGTGCTAAATAATGTATTCTAAAGCAAATTTTATGAAATTTTGACTGAATTTGTGAAGAAAATTGTACTAATTCTGTCAGAATTTAGTAAATACTTTCATATTCTATATCAACCTCTGGAATACGCGTACTACGAAACTTTAACTATCGGTATTTTCAGATTCACTTATTTCATCCAAGTAATTTTTTTATTATTATCTTAAATCAAAATTTAGTCCCATCTCTAATAGTGTTTCTGTGGTACCAAACAAGTATTATACGTTTTTCCTCTAGTGGCAAATAAAATATTTTAAAGCTTTTTTGCATTAAATCTGGACTGATTTTGGGTAAAAAGTAGTACTAACGCTGCTAGAAATCCGTAAATATCTTTGGATTATGTATTATACTACAACTATTACTATTTTCAAATTCAGAAAGTTCTTCGACAAAAAAGAATTAATATTTGTCCCAATATTAATAATTATTTAGCAGATTTAGAAAATTTATGAATTAAATATCTAAAATTTAGAACATACTGTGACGTTGTTTTTTATTCAAATTTTCGAGAAAAACTATTAAAAAATTTAATTTTTTTCATGTGTCACGATATTAGACGACGAAATAGCAAAAATCGAGCGTAAAGAAACAATTAAATAAATGAAAATAAACTTTTTTAGCTAGAAATTACAAAATAAAATTTATAACTATGAAGCAAAAAAAAACTATTGTAAATAGTAGACGAAAAAAACGTATGTTAGTGAAAGCATAAGCATTATTGTGATGATTATGTAAAACATTAGGTGCTTGGGAAACATATGTGCATTTATACTAGACCAATTATTGTAAATCGTATAGAGAAAAAACGTACAACAAATATAATTTTCTTATTTTTTGTGATGTATATAATGAGGCCAGTTTGTTGAAGAATAACTCAAGAAATAATATTTTGGCGTTTTAAAAAATTTTTGACAAAAATATCTCGAATCTCAGTAGAATAAAAATTTATTATTTATTTAAAAAAATAGTATATTGTTTTGTTAGAAGTAAAAATCATTTAAAAGTTATATTTACTCCAAATAGAACCTGCTGTTTTTTTTTCAGACGTCACAAATAATTTTTTAAACAATTTCAAATCTTCCAAATAATATAAAAAGATTTAAAAATAATACTTTTTAAGTAATTATATAACGAGAAACTATGGTTACGCTCGTTAAATTTGACACTTAATGTCAGTTTAATAATATATTTTCGAACTTTTGTGCTTAGGTGTAAAAGTGCTTTACTTTTATGCCTAGGCGTTAAAATGACAAATACCCCTGTGACGTTTGAAAAAAAAATATTTTTTGTACTTTCTGCGATACAGAAAACACATAGACTGTATCGTTGTTTGTTAAAATAAATTAATTTTACAAAATAAAAACCGTTTGTTGTACGTTTTTTTTATGTTCTCGTCGTAACTTCGATGCGGTGCAATCTATCATTATAACATAGTCATTTATAGAAAAGAAATAAAATGCGTCATCTTTTATTTTTTTCTTTTTTTAGTCGGACTGCTTGCGAAGCACTAAGTCGCATAGAATATATAGGGTTTTGTACATATTTAGTTTAAGAGAAGAAAAGAGCAAGTCTGTTATATTTATTTATTATTTTTTTGTTTATATTTGTATTATTTAAGCGAGCATTACTTGCAAAATAGTTCTTTAGTGTCGAGACATACTGTTTTCTAGATATATAGGCCAGGAGTGAACTGAAAAGTTTATTTTTTCTTAAATAATTTTAGTTTTTCAACATATTTTTTTGTAAAGTCTTCATAATTCTTTCTTACAATTTTAGAAGATATTTTTTGACATAGTCTTTTTTTTCAAGGTAAATATTGTATCTTTCTAACACTTGTAACTAAATCTGGTCAATATGGAGGTTGCCAAATAGTTTAAATGAATATGTTACTCACTGAATTGTGAGGCTACACATAGTTATCTTGTTGAAAACTCTTTATTATTACAAATCTGTACCCCGGAAGCCAAGCTATATTAAGTCAAAAAAAAGTAAAGTAAAGTTCTTTTTTGAAGTTATTTCCCAATTACTGGGTTATTTTAATAATTTTATGCCAATTTTCTGGCAATTAATTGCAAGGATATTGTCAGTAGTTCCAGTTTATTAATGCCTTAAAGTTTAAACTATCAAAACCTTGTTGAATGCTTGTCAAAAGATGTCTGAACACATTCCCTAGCTTTTGTAGACCTTTTTTTTATAGGTTTGAGTACTTTTCAGATCACTCGACTCACTAGAATAATCAGAAAAAATAAACGAATCATTTGTAAATTTTGTTAGACCCTAAAACTCCCCAAAACTAACGAACTATTTTGTAAAATCAATCATCGAACTGACTAAAAGTATTTAATTTTTTTTTTCGTTGCGTAGTAAGTTTCATCATTCACTGTAAATTAAATCCAGACATTCTCCATCGCGCGGCTACAGTTGTTTGCATATATGTTAGGACTTCCAAGCAGATTAAACAAAAAGTCTTTATATAAACAGCAAGAAAAAAAATTGTGATTAAATTAAATTTTACTATTATGAAAATAACAAAATTAATTGAAATGTTTTTGTATTAGTGAATTATTAAAACATCTGAAATTGTATGTGTGTTGTTTTAATTTTTCCTGTACCCATGTAGAAATTTATGTTGAATGCAAAACAGCTAGAAGAGACGAAGTTCTTTTAATTTGTACATTCCAAGAGGGTTATTGAAGAACCTATTCCAAACGACCACATAGAAGAAATGTATTTAACAGGTATGATATAGTCAATCAATTTAATACAACTTGGTTTTAATCAACATTATTTTTTGTTTATTATAGGTGATAAACTCTCTCAAGAATCACTTCCCAATGGAATATAAATTGAAGGCTAGGCACAATAAAGAAGAATCTAAAGCTACTGTGTAAGCCTGTACTGAAGGTTTTACTTAAAAGACTGTTTTATCACTATTCATACCAAGAATAATGTACATACCAAGAAGTTGAAGCTGAAGAAACGTATACCAAATATTCACACTTAGAAGAAATGATTCAGCAGAACAGGTATAATATAGTCAATTAATTGTACAACTCATCTCATAAAACACCTCCAGTGAAGATCTCCTTCCTTCTTAAAAAAACACTCGTTAAAGATAAAACACCTCTTTAAGATTACTTATAATAGTTCAACTGTGTTTTCTAATTATTATATTATTTTCTATAATATCAGCCACATTCATAATGTAATTTCCTGTTATTTCATATCTTTCGTTTCACAATTTTGTATTTCATTTTGCAGAAGTAATGGAGATGAAGAACTAAGAAGATACAAGACCATAGAAAAACTCTACACTGAAGTATCATGGAAGAAAAATAAGAAAACAGTCTTCAGTTAGGTATAACATCTTACTTCAATTTAATGCAATAATTTTTAACACTCTTGTTTTTTGTTGGTTGCAGATTAGCTATCCCAAGAAATACTTCCAAACCAGAGAAATTCAAGACTAAAATCAAGAAGGAATATAACAACGTGTGATATACAACTGCCTGGCCCTGTCGTCAATCAGAGAGTCTATTATGCTCTAATCGATTTGCTGGTTACACTTCTCCTTCAATAATTTATGTTTAAATGGTATGAAATTGTTGTTGAGTTCTTTCCATACAATTTATGAAATATTTTTTTTGTTCTTTGCAGAATTTGGCGAACGGCAATAGCAAGAACATTGGAGATAAAAATGGATCAGTTACCGAAATAAAGAAGATTGTCCTCAAGTTTTGATAACTATGTAAGTTTGAAAGAAATTAATAGAGTATGATCAATAAAAAAAGACGTCTGAGTAGGAAGAGAAATAATATTTCAGTTCGAGTTTCTTATGCTTCTTGTAGAGGTATTTTTCAGTAACAGTACACTAATTGTTGAACGTTAATAAGGTTTTTTAGCTTTAAAATATAGTAACTTTACCCTCAAAATTGCATTTGAAACGCTAAAAGTACTTGAAAGAAAATTATAATAAATAAAAAAATTATTAAGACTTAAACACCCTGTAGCTACGATACAAAGCAGAATCGGACCTATGTTGATATGAAAAATAAATCTTATTTTTACGTGAGGAATTTCCCCACAAGAGATGGCCCATATTTTTTGAAACACACTGTATATAGGTGTTCTATGACGTCGTTTTGCGCTGGATGTATATGTATACTATGATAGTTACGGAGCCCATTAAGAGCAATGTTGACTTAGTTAGCAGTTATAATTGGTGTACAAAACTAAAGCAACGTACAGCAACGCAAAAACTGTATAAAATACAGAGAAACTGACATGCATCTGCTCACAGCAGGGACATTATAGACACTAAATACTCCGAACCAACGTATCAACTAACCTCTGTAAAACCGTCTCATATACTGGCTTTTGTCAAAGTCCTGAGACTGTATGATGAGTTATAACTTAAGAAAGGGGAACACAATAGATAACTGATCAAGATCAATCAATATTTTGTGATAAAAGATAAAGAACCTAATTTTTGTTATTATTGAATACAATTTTGTATAAACTAACTATATTATCTTTTGTTACAGATTGAACGAGAATAGGGATCTTCTACCGCTTCTTCTGGGGCAAGACTGGAATTTCAGAGCCAATCCAGATATGGCAATTTGCTTCTACAGCATTTAGACAGCACTTCAACCAGAATAGAGAAGCATACTATACGAAGATATCACCGCAGAAACAAGAAGAATTATTAATTTTCTACATATAAATTGCCCCTGTATTTATTTTTAACAAAAAATGACATGTAGTATTCATAAAAGATAAATAAATATTAAAAAATTATACTAAATTCTATGGTTTAATTTATTAACACACCCCTATAAATAACAATACAAAACAGTATAGAAAAATCAGGTAAAAGGAACACAGAGATATTATTATTTACCTGAACTATATTTACTACTTGCCTCTTCAGTCTTATCTCTTCCTGATAATTTTGCCTGATTTTTGCTAAACGTTAAGACTCAGATTTGTATCAGGAGTATACAAAAGCGAGAAGGTTGCTAGAAATTATATTTAAGTTAAACGAAAAATAAATCCTTTTCTTAATACTTTACCGCCTCGCTGTTATATGTTCCTGATCAAAATCCAGCATTTCCAGAGATTAAACAAAAGTTCATACCAAGAACATATTTATTTGACTTGATAAATGATCAGATATTTTAATCGAAAATTTTTGACAAAATGGTGAAGGCAACTGCTTACTCCTGGTATCGAAATATACCTCCTCGCTCTCATATGCTCCTGATAGAAATTCAAGATTTCTCACTTTTAACAAAAGCTGCTCAAAATAATTTCTACCCAGCAAATTTTGGAGTACCTGACCAACGAGCTCGAATAGTTAGATTTTTTTGGAAAAACGGCCATAACTTCCAAACTAAAAGAGATATCGAGGAACGGAAGCCGGCAATCGATAGGGAATTCAATTCTCTATAAGGGTGTAAATTTAGGGGATGATCGGAGCAAAAAAAAATTTCTCGGCAAAAATGAAGGAAGGTTAACCCCTTACCTCATTTTTCGCCCAAAAATTTTTTTGTTTCCGATCTCGCCCTTATCTTGCGCCCTTATAGAGGGTTGAAATGCCTATCGAAAGCGCTGTTCCGTTCCTCTCTAACCCTTATAGTTTCCGAGATATTAGGGGTTGAAATTTTCCAACGAGGTCGAATTGTTAGAGATAGCAGAAATATCATTGATTAATGCTATATTTACGTGTGCTACTAAATTTGCTCCTTACCTCTTTAAGCTTATGCGATCCTGATAGAAATCGGGGATTTTGGACGGGGTTTAAAAATTTTCGTGCAGTCTTTGACAAAAATTGAATTTTCTCGGATATGTATCAGGAGCACATAAGAGCGACTATGTAGATATTGGTACTTAATTTACTCTTTACCTCTTCACACTTATGTGCTCCTCATAGAAATCGGTGATTATGGACTAGGATTAAAAATGTTCAGTTCAATTTTTGTTAAAAGATGAATTTTCTCGGATTTGTATTAGGAGTGCATAAGAGTGAGGAGGTAAAGGTAGGTGTTATTTTTATATAAAATACTGTCTATTCCTGAATAACTTGTTATGTTTTTGGGTATTAGAATACATTATTTTCTTTGATAATTAAATGACTTTCTGTCTGTTCATGATTAGACTGTATTTCGAATATATTTGTTGAATAAAACTCTTTATTTTTAACGACTCTTTATTAACATATTAGTTTGTATTAACAATATTAATATAAAATGTATATTAAAATCCAAGGTCTTGATGGAGATGCCGATGTCTATGTTGAGGTAAATCAATCTTCCGGCTACCCTTGTGGAAAGTCTTGGTTCTGTAAGAAAAAATAAAGAAATAATTAACATTAATTGATTGTTCACTAACAAGCTTGATTAAAAACTATTACTTAAATTCTACATTATGATCGAAAAAAAAACGGCGTCAGCGATGGCTATGAAATGAAGATTGCTGTCATTTTCTATGTAAAATTATATGGGAAATGTCATCCATCATCATTTCCCAGCCAACTGAACGCAGTATTTTCGATCATACAGTATAACTTTTAACTTAACAAAAAAAGCTGTAAGTATTGGTAAATAGGAAATATTTTAGTAAAAATAATTAGAAGAGTTAAAAATTAAATTAAAAATTTAGTCTGTAGGCAACTCTATATACACGTTAAGGTATTTCTGGTTGCCTAAAAACAAAAATAATGTAAATAATGTATATTTAGTTGCATAAAACTAAAGTAAATTGGGCGCCAAAATATTTTATTTAAAATTAACCATTTATAGCTACATATTTTACAAAAGACAACTATTGGGTATTTATTAAACATATTCGACCTTAAAAATACACGTTTTAGTGTAATTTACCTAAAATTAATTAGATTCCTCTTCAATGATGAATTTCATCCTCATTCCACTGTTAAATCTTGAATTTAATAAGTCTGATGGCATCTTGAAGTGGGTGGTTGAAGTGCAGCTGTTCCAAAAAATCCTTGTTCCAAAGCAGTACAATATCGCATCCAAAAACTCAATTTTAAATGGATTTAGAAACAAAATGAAGAGAAAATCAATTAGAAATAATTCCGAAACTATACAATTCTATGTAAGCATCAATAGAAATGAAACTAAAGACTTGGAAGCCTTAGAGGGAGAATAGCAGTAATATAAACAATAATATAAATAAAGAGATTTATAAGTACAACCACAAAAGCCAAATAATAGATTACATTTAAGAATAATTAAGTTTTACTCTGTATGGTACGATTATTTGAAAAAAGTGATTGAAAATGATTCCAAAATTACAGCTCTATAATAACAATAGAAATACCTTGGAGAAGTCTTGACACATAATGAGATGATACAAAAAAATGATACAAGCAAATGATCACCGATAATTCAGAAATACATAAAATAATAATTTTCACAGAATGAAGATAATATAGTAGAAAAATATAGAAATAGAGGTATGGAGAATTAAAATTCAATTATACATATACAAAGACTTATAAATACAATCAAAAGAAGCAGAGTTCATAGAATTGAAAGATGACATTCCCATAAGGAAGAATGTATGGGAGAAGAATAGTGAAATAGATATATGATGCATTGAAATAAATGGTGGGTAGTGGGTAAAATGGCATAAAACAGAATAGAATCACAAAAATATACAGATATTATTATATATTAGTAATTAGAAGAGTATACATGCATATATAGAACTGATGAATGATATTCCAATAATAAAGAATATATGGTAGACAAAAATAGAGAGGTAGACCAAAAAGAAGGCGAAGAAAAAAGTATTAGATGATACTTAAAAAATAGAGAAGCATGTGGTGAATAAAAACTGGAAAATTTACTAAAGATTATGCTTGGCCACCTCTAAAGAATATCTAGTCAAAATATGACTCAAGCACATAAAGAAAAAACCTCCAGAGCATATAAGTTCGTCCCCCTTCATCAGATTTGACCCTTGGGCGACGATTAAGCCTCACCAGTCAGTTCCCATCCCAGCTAAGCAGCCTCGTCTCGGGTCACCCTCGTCACCCATCGAGCGGACATCCACCGGGACCCCCTACAGGCGGACCCCCCTCATCATCTTCAATGTGTCCGATATCCCGCCCCCTGCCTCTTCGAGGGTCACGGAATACGTGCACGAAGAAGTCTCGGAGCTTGGGTGCCAGGTCGTATCCGGCCGAAGCCTCTAGCGTTAGAACACCTAGCTCGTAAACCAGAGGGTGGTGACTCCCTTGGGTACCTATGCATGCTACATGGGTCATCGATGCCCGAACATCAGGGTTAGGGGGCGACCCAGGTCTCCTCCTCTTAGGGGAGGCTAGTTATGATGCTCTGGAGTCGATGTTACTCAGAAAAATGTATTGGAAAAAATGCTAGGAAAAAGAGAATGGCATCTGTAGACATCAGGCTTTTTGAATGAATGGCGAGTGCGCCAGGAATTGATCGGAAATTAGTCCTTATTTGGTGATTTTTGAGTATATTATTGTGTTTGTAAATTATATTGACACACAGACAACCCAAATCAACAGAATGAAAATCAATAAACAAAAATGGAAACAGAATCCGTAAAATTATGGCAATTCATGGCATATTATCTGAGGAAAATGACATGAAAATGAATCCACCAAAACTATTTCTGTACAAGGAACTGCACAAGCAAAAAAGTACTAGAAAAATAACTCAATAAAAAAATAATACAAATAAAAACGACTTAATAGTCAATGGAATATTGCATAGAATTGAAAAATTATATTCTTGCCACAATGGAGGAAATATGGCAGTCAAGCTATTATAAAGAAATAAAAAATGAAAGTAAACCAAAAAAAACATGAAGTAAAATTCTAAGAAGATGGTATTCTACCAAAAAGAAAGAGTGACAAAAAGCAAAAAATTGGCCTAAGTAAAAAATAGGTGGTCTGAAATAGTCAATGATAATAAGGAACCATTAAATTATAACTCAGAGACTCATTCGAATTTCTTTCATACTTAAATGTTAAAATTTTGAAATCCGCTGAACAGAAAGAACATCATCAAAAGGATAAATGTACTGCCTTGGAACTGTATGCATCCATCGACTTGTGGAAAATCTGTAAAAAAAGAAATAAATAGCATTAAGTTTTATTATAATTTATATCTATTTTACAAAAACACAATAATATTAGATATTATGTATTTACTAAAAATATATTTAATTCAAAAAAAACTTTTAGAATCATTTACCTCAAAATATTTAGGTGCTTTTCAATGATGAATTTCATCCTCATTCCACTCTTGAATGTTGAATTTCATCAACCTAATGACATCTTGAAGAGGGCAGTTGACTTGGAATACAGTTCTTCCAAAAAATCCTTGTTCCAAAGCAGTACAATATCCCAATCAAAAACTCAATTTTAGAAAGAATTACAAACGGAATGAAAAGAAAGTAATTAGAAAATAAATCCAAAACCATACGTTCCCAGGAAGGAACCAACAGAAATGAAATGAAAGACTTGAAAGTCTTAGAAGAATAGCAGTAAAATAAACAATAATACACATAATAGAAGAAATTTAGAAATACAATCAATTAGAAGAAAATAATAAAGAGAAACACTGTTAGCTTTGTTTGATAGCATAATATCTCTTAAAGGAAAGTGAAACTTTGTGAAATGTGTCCTATGGTCAGGAAATGTGGGGATTGTCTGACTACCAGTATTTGCTAGTTCATTTAGCGTTATCCAGGGTGCACCACGAGGAGGCGAACTAGCTTTGCACCCCTCCAGAATGAAGACAATATGGAAGAAAAATAAAGCTAAGAAGAAAATACGGGAGACAAATAATGAAATAGAAATATGATGCATTGGAAAAAATTATTTAAAAAACTATTTACTTTATCAAAATAAATAAAAAAAACTATATTCTATACAAGTCATAGAAATGGCGAAATATATCTTAGAAGAGTCTCTGAAGAATGACATAAAAAATGTATACAAATATATATAAAAAGTTAGAGAAATACAACCAATGGAAGAGTTTATAGGATTGATAAATGATGGCATCCCCATAATGAAGAAAATATGGGAGACAAATAGAGAAAGAGAAGATGAATTGAAAAAATAGCATGAAAATGAAGGATAAATTGTGCTCATAACAGTGCTCAGCATCTTCCAACAAATATCTAGTCAAAATTCGACTAAAGCACATAAAGAAAAATCCTCCAGAGCATATAAGTTCGCCCCCCTTCATCAGATTTGACCTTTGGGCGACGATTAAGCCTCACCAGTCAGTTCCCATCCCAGCTAAGCAGCCTCGTCTCGGGTCACCCTCGTCACCCATCGAGCGGACATCCACCGGGACCCCCTACAGGCGGACCCCCCTCATCATCTTCAATGTGTCCGATATCCCGCCCCCTCTACTGTCGAGACGTCACGGGATACGTGCACGAAGAAGTCTCGTAGCTTGGGTGCCAGGTCGTATCCGGCCGAAGCCTCTAGCGTTAGAACACCTAGCTCGTAAACCAGAGGGTGGTGACTCCCTTGGGTACCTATGCATGCTACATGGGTCATCGATGCCCGAACATCAGGGTTAGGGGGCGACCCAGGTCTCCTCCTCTTAGGGGAGGCTAGTTATGATGCTCTGGAGTCGATGTTACTCAGGAAAATGTATTGGAAAAAATGCTAGGAAAAACAGAATGACATCTGTAGATATCAGGTATTTTGAATGAATGACGAATGCGCCAGGAATTAATCGGAAATTAGTCCTTATTTGGAGATTTTTAAGTGTGTTATTGTGTGCTTAGATTATATTGACACACAGGCACACCAAATCAACAGAATGAAAATCAATCAACAGAACATGGAAACAGAATCCGTAAAATTATGGCAATTCATGGCATATTATCAGAGGAAAATGACATGAAAATGAATCCACCAAAACTATTTCTGTATAAGGAATTGCACAAGCAAAAAAGTATTAGAAAAATAACTCAATAAAAAAAATAATACAAATAAAAACGACTTACAAAAATAGTCAATGGAATATTGCATAGAATTGAAAAATGATATTCTTGCCACAATGGAGGAAATATGGCAGTCAAGCTATTATAAACAAACCAAAGTAAACCAAAAACAACATGAAGTAAAATTCTAAGTACATGGTATTCTACCAAGAAGAGTGACAAAAAGCAAAAAATTGGCCTAAGTAAAAAATAGATGGTCTGAAATATTCAATGATAATAAGGAACCGTGGAAAATATAACTCAGAGACTCATTGGAATTTCTTTCTTACTTAAATGTAAAAATTTTCAAATCCGCTGATGAACAGAAGGAACATCATCAAAGGGATAAATGTACTGCCTTGGAACTGTAATGCATCCATCGACTTGTTGTGGAAAATCTGTAAAAAAAGAAATAAATAGCATTAAGTTTTATTATAATTTATATCTACATATTTTACAAAAACACAATAATATTAGATATGTATTTACTAAAAATATATTTAATTAAAAAAACTTTTAGTATCATTTACCTCAAATTATTTAGGTGCTTTTCAATGATGAATTTTATCCTCATTCCACTCTTGAATGTTGAATTTCGTCAACCTAATGTCATCTTGAAGAGGGCGCTTGACTTGGAATACAGTTCTTCCAAAAAATCCTTGTTCCAAAGCAGTACAATATCCCAATCAAAAACTCAATTTTAGAAAGAATTAGAAACGGAATGAAAAGAACGTATTAGAAAATAACTTCAAAACCAAACAATTCCAGGAAGACACTAACAGAAATGAAATGAAAGACTTGAAAGTCTTAGAAGAATATGAGTAAAATTAACAATAATACACATAATAGAGGAGATTTAGAAATACAATCAATTAGAGAAGAAAATAATAAAGAGAAACACTGTTAGCTTTGTTTGATAGCATCATATCTCTTAAAGGAAAGTGAAACTTTGTGAAATGTGTCCTATGGTCAGGAAATGTGGGGATTGTGTGACTACCAGTATTTGCTAGTTCATTTAGCGTTATCCAGGGTGCACCACGAGGAGGCGAACTAGCTTTGCACCCCTCCAGAATGAAGACAATATGGAAGAAAAATAAAGCTAAGAAGAAAATACGGGAGACAAATAATGAAACAGAGATATGATGCATTGGGAAAAATTATTTAAAAAACTATTTACTTTATGAAAATAAATAAAAAAACTATATTCTATAAGTCATAGAAATGGCGAAATATATCTTAGAAGAGTCTCTGAAAAATGGCATAAAAAATGTATACAAATATATATAAAAAGTTAGAGAAATACAACCAATGGAAGAGTTTATAGGATTGATAAATGATGGCATCCCCATAATGAAGAAAATATGGGAGACAAATAGAGAAAGAGAAGATGAATTGAAAAAATGGCATGAAAATGAAGGATAAATTGGGTGAAAATGGCACAAAAATAAACAAATATATAAGTCAGTCGTTAGAAGAGCATAATATATAGAACTGATGAATGATATTCCAATAATAAAGAAAACATGGCAGACAAAAATAGAGCGAGGTAGGCCAAAAGCAAGAAGTATTAGATGATAATACAAAATAAAGAAGTATGTGGTCAATAGGAAAATTGACAAAAAGTAATGCTTAGCTTCCTCTAAAGAATATCTAGTCAAAATTTGACTCAAACATATAAGGAAAAATCCTCCAGAGCATATAAGTTCGCCCCCCTTCATCAGATTTAACCCTTGGGCGACGATTAAGCCTCAAAAACAACATGAACAAGAAGTTTTAAGTAGATCGTATTCTACCAAAATGAAAGAGAAATGACCAAAAGCCAAAAATTAACTCATTTGAAATGTTTTCTTATTTAATTAAATTTAAAAAGGATGAACTCCACTGATGAAAACCAGTAAAATATGTATGTTTATCCAAAATATGTATGTTTATCCAAAAGAAATAAAACCTAAAAAAATATACTTATATATTAAGTCCTGATACATTGTTGGTAATATTCATGAAAAGGATAAATGTACTGCCCTGGAACTGTATACATCTATTAATTTGTTGTAAAAAATCTGTAAAAAAAGAAATAAATAACATTACATTTCATTAACTCTGCCATAATTGTGTTTATTTTTTTCTGTTTCATATTAAGATTAAAGATATAAAAAAGTTCTCTCTCAATAAAACATTTAATAAATTTATTAAAATTATTTTGATATAATAAATTAAACTTACTTTTAATCATATAATGTAAAACCAATTTTATAAACCAGAGTGATGGCTAGACGTCAGGATTAATATATAAGGGATGCTCCAGGTCTTTTTTTTGGGAGGTCTTTATGTGCTGGTGTGTATTAATAACGCTCCTAAAAAGAAAATTATAATTAAAGCATTATATAAAACAATGCAGAATTGTGTATACTATTAAACATCTATTTAAACATATTTTATTTTATCTGAATAGAGCCAGTATTATATAATTATCGAGAATAGTGGCCCTCTTTAGGTATATTTAACACTGTCTCGTTCTAAACGACGTAAAAAATACTTTTTTGTCTGTAGGAATGAACACAAAAAACCATCTTTATACTCTACCCAAAAAAATTGCACAAAAAATACCAAATATCTCGAAATATGGAGCATTATTCTAAGTAACTTTATATTTAATGTACACTAGAAACATCAAGGAATGTATCTGTATTTCCATACACTCGATTTTGCAAAAGAAAATTATGAAAATAGGAAAAATATATACGCTTTTAATGATGATGTAATTGAAATACTTGAAAGTGAAAAAATCTATGGAAAACAGGCAAAATAATCGGTACTTACGTTTTCAGGACATTAAAAAGACCTTAAGAAACAGAATACACTCAAATAATGTACAGAAAAATTACTTTTTCTATCAAAAAATTAGAAAAATTGGAAGAGGGACATAACGACATCTTGCTAAAACAACGGAATATCTAACACTGTCGACGTTGTCAGATTGAATACTTGCAAAACAAAAAAATTATAATTTTTTGCTGCATAAATAATGATGTGTCTAAAAGAAAATGTTATGTTATTATACTGAAACAAAACTTGTATCAAATTTTTAGTAGATTTATCATGATTCTGTAACGGTTCAGTTAATTTTAGACTTGCAGAAATAATGATTTAGATTAGTTTACAGGATTTCGTTAATTCATTGGCAACCTTGGAAACATTTTAGTTCAAAATTTTCTCACTTTTTCCACAATGGCGCCACCTGCATTCTTCTTCTTTTTCGAATTTCAGGTCTTAAAAGACTGTAACCACAGAATAAAAGTATTGTTCTTCTTCTTTTCTATATTTATGGCTCGAATCATGAGCAACCACAGGTTTGACATAGGTTTCTTCTTCTTTCCATTTTAAATGGCTTAAATTATATAGATCATTCAGCCAGTATCCAGAAGTAAGAAGAGAATACAAATTACAATCTATGGTTAATTTTTAGACAAAGACAACAACAAACATAAACAAGTACAGCAATAGTTGGCGGTAAATATGAAATACTACTGGGGGATAGTTAATCTTTAGGATACAGTCTATAATACTGATTCTTGAGCGTTCAGAGAATACAATACTGCAAATTTATATAGAATATAGAACTTTATTAAAATATAATCAACTTCTTTGTCCACAGGATCCTGCAAGAAGTTGGCGGATGATCTGAAAAAAAGAATGATCCAGCTTTATTTTTATAATATTAATACAAATAATAAAAGGTTTTTGAAACATATGTAAATCTTTTAAACAAACTGGCCTAAATTTTCCAGGTCTCTATTGTAAATAGTTTGAGGAAAAATAAGCGGGAACCTAAATATAGCGGCCGTTATTATAGTTCTGCAGATTTAAACTAATATTCGCGTTCAGAACCGTTCCAATAAATCTATAGTTTATTTATAAACCCAGATTCAAACAGTGTTTCATAAGCAATTCCAGCGAAGCTATTTTACTTTATTGCAACGGATTTAAGTTGATATCTCTGGTTGATATATGATCAATTTATAGAGACCGTAACGATGTATCGATTTATTGAAATATCGATACATTATCGGAACCAAATTTATCGATATAAAACATTAACTCTCCATAAGCAAACTACCTAATTGGCAAGGTCATTGGTACGAATTTATGGTGGGTTCATACAGCCAAATAAAATAAAATAAGAATAAAATAAAATAAAATAAGAAAGTTGGTTATATGGGATACCGTACATGCGTTCATACAGCCAAATAAAATAACAAATAAAATAAGAAGTCTTTATCTTTTAACTTCTTGTTTTATTTTATGTGAAAACGGCTTTGCGCACGCTTAATTCTAACCTACAAATATTTTCAGTTTGGATTTAATTTATTTTATAATTTCACATAAGTAAAATGTATAATATAGTAGGCAACGAATAAATAAATATACTATAAATAGTAAAATTACTATAAACAATCGTAAAAGTTAACTTTTATCCAGCCTCATCGTACTGCGCATGAGCAAATATATATTTCTTATTTTATTTTATTTGACTGTATGAACGCACACAAATAAGAATTCCTTATTTCTTATTTTATTTTATTCTTATTTTATTTTATTTGGCTGTATGAACCCACCATTAGAGAGGTGTGATCATTTTATAGGAATGGTAATGCTGTATCGATTTTTTTAAATATCGATATGCTTGAATCAAAATTATCGATAGGCTATATTTATAATCAGCCTAAATCTCTTTTTTTGTCCAGTGTATCGATAGAATACATTAGAGCAAATACAAATTTTATTTTCGCCCGAAAGGCGTATTTACAAAAAATTGCACTCGATTGACAGCAAGCACCAATTTATAAAAATGTCATTTAATACAACAGTAACCTGGCAACAAAGTTCATACCAGCAGCGTTAATACAAATATACCGGAAGATTAATAAATGCAACATCTATGTCGTTCTAAATGGGACAAAATATACTATAAATTCAGTAAGAAATAAATTTATCTATGTACCAAGGAAATTATAAAGTGTTAATAAGCTCGGGCAATTATTGTCCCTCGGGCCATAGGCCCGCGGGACTGAAACTTTGCCCTTGCCCTTGGTGATTGATACTCTTATAAAATTCCCTTGGTACATTAATAACTGTTAATTATATAGTACCATTTAATACATAATGCATAATAATGTTTTAAAAATACAATAAAATAAAACAATGGGATATATAGTCCCATTGAAATTTATTGAAATACAAACTGTAACTTTTGAGGAAATTATAACTAATTTCTATTTTTAATTTATGCAGTCATGTGGCCATGCAATAATTGTGAGCGAATTTTTTAAATAAACAAATCAATAAATCACATATGTACTTATATTCTAGGAAGCAAAGAAATGATGTTAAATTTAACAGTAAAAAAACACGTACGTATTAATTGCAGGTTTAACTAGATTAGGTATATGCACAGACTAACCTGTTTGTCGTATATGCAATTCGTTTATCAGCAAATGCGTTTTTAGAGATGGCGTTGATTGCAGGTGATCTAATATCAGTTCTGTATCTGTAAGAAAGAAAATATATATGAAAATAGATTAATTATTACTCGTATATTCTGGCGTTGAAAAAGACATATACAAAATATCCCAAATAAACTACTCAATACAATTATCGCATATTTTCTAAAAAATATATTAATTTGAAAAATAAGACACTTTGAATTCCCTGACTTACAATTTTAAATAGTTTGGATACTGTCCTAAGGAAAATTCGATACAATAAGTCTATGCATTGACCTGTAATTTTTAGTCGCGCGGCAACAACACATACTTATGGAGCCGATCTGCCAACTATTTGATTACATGTGAGCGCCGCTCCATAGGTTATCCTATTACTAGCCGTATTTACTAGCTCCTATTACTAGCTCCTTATTGGTTACGAATATGCAACTAAATAGTCGGCCAATTAAAAATTGCCTGCCAGCGTATAGCCTAAGGCTACGCAATGCAATCAATTATTGGGCCGATCGGCTCCATAAAAATGTATTATTTTCACTTTTGCAACTAAATAGTCGGCCGACTAAAAATTACACGTCAGTGCGTACTCTAAGTATCCTAATAAAACTCACAAGAGAAAGGCAGATAAATGCATACTTCATTTAGAAATATGTAATAAGTACTTTTATTCAAATATGGCGATAATAATTGTTTTGAGATTGAAAACTGTAAAAACATTACAAAATAAAAAAACTGGTCAAGTGCAAGTCGGACTTTCATTATCGTACAATTCATTATCTATACAACATTAGACACTGTATTATTATAAACTTTTTTTCCGATTTAGCTGAAATTTTAAATGCGCGTATAAGTAATTTAAAAAAATGAAGACACACATTACTAAAAATTGTATTAATCAATAATAAATATGTAAAAAGTAAAAATAAATATGTAAAAATTAAAAAAAAAAACGATTAAAAAAATGTCGCCTTGACTATAGGATTCGAACCTGCCTTACTACGGCTCCAACGTCATAGCAGCGTAAAGTCCTAACGCTCCTACCTAACGCTTTAACCACGCGGCCACCGAGGACTTGAAAGATTCTATGTAAAATTCTTACTTAAAAGATCAAAAAAAAGTTGATAAATTAATTAGAAAAACTAGTTGATAAATTAATTAGAAAACGTAGGTATAGGTTAATGTTTTCTGAAAATTCGACTTTTCAAGTGGAGAAAGATACGTCTAAATATTTTTCGATACCGTTTGATAGAGAGTTATCCCGTGGTCTAAAAGGAATTTTTAAGAATGTCAATTATAAACTTGTGTATAGTGCTAATAATAAATTACAACAATTATTAGGTAATCCAAAGGATAAAACACCTCCACTGGAAAGGTCGGGTATTTATGAAATTTCTTGTAAAGATTGTAATCAGAAATATGTTGGGCAAACTAGAAGATCAATATTAACTAGATTTAAAGAACATTTAGCTCAAATAAGATATGGTAGACCGGATAAATCTTGCGTTGCCGAACATATTGTTGATAAAGAACATTGTATAGATCTTAATAATTTAAAATTAATTAAACAAGTCTCAAATTACAGGCAATTAGATGCATATGAAAGCATCAGAATTAATAAATGTAAAGATAGTATGAACAGAGACAACGGTCCAATTCCTTCAAGTTTTTTGTTCCTACTACTCTAGTGGCGGAAATCTAACTGTTACGCTCAGTGGGCTCTGACTCGCTTGGCTAGATTTTGCCACGCCCACTCGGTGCCCACTGAGCCAGTATATAAACGCTCAACTTGTAGATTGTACTTTAGTTTATAATCATCTGCTGATAATGCTAACATGGTTAGCGAAACGCGCGTCCAGTGTAAAAGTAAAAGTGTTTTGGTGTATTGTGGTGATTTAGTGTTTTTATTTTGCTGTGTAACACCAAAGGTTCCAACCTCAACTGTAATACTTAAAAGATAATGTTTAGTGAAAGTGCTTTTTATTTATAAACATTTATTTAAGCGGCAACATAGATACAGTATCTGTAAAAATTTCAACTGTCTAGCATAAGATAGACCTTTATTGTGACAGACGGACGGACGGACAGCGAAGTCTGAGTAACAGAGTTCCCGTTTTTAACCCTTTGGGTACGGAACTCTAAAAAGACACTCTAATCAGAGTCAGAGAGGCCTATGTTATAGTTTATAGTAGGTAATAGAGTGGATAATTGCGTTGGGTAAATCATCCTCAATCTTGTCATATGGTTCTTCTTTCTCTTTCGTTATAAGCTTTTTTCGTTTTCCTGTTATTACCGATTCTGAACCGTTCTAGAACTCTGCAGCGCATGCGCAAATGAAATAATGTCTTCATATTTCCTTCTGCGCATACGCATCACAGTTCTAGGACAGTTCAGAATCGGCAATAACAGGAAAACGAAAAAAGCTATAATTCAGTCAAGTCTATTACTTCAAAATCGATATCTTCTTCTTCTATTTCTTTCTCAGCAGCCTCTACCATTCTCGGATGTTCATCTCAATTTAGTAAATTATAATTATGGGTAAAATATAAGTAAGTTTTTCGTTTTTTTACGGTAAGTTTGTTTCTTCTTGGACGATGGACAAATCCATAAGTACAAAAGGTTGTGTTGTCTTTCGGTTCCGGCTGTTTTTTTCACGACGGTGAGCTGTTTGTACGGTGAGCTGTGTAGGGTATTCGCAGCATCCGTCTATAACACCACATTTTAAAAGCATCGATTTTACGTTTCATTGCCAACTTCAATGTCCAGGTCTCTGAGGCATAAGTGGCAATGGGGAAAATTAGGGCTCTTAGTAGTCTGAGTTTGTTGCTAATTGAAATGGCTGAATCTTTCCAAATTTTATTGAGTTTGGTCATAGAATTATGTGATATACACAGTCTTCTGTTGATTTCAGCATCACACCCTCCTTTGTTTGATATCAAACACACATCTACTGCCCTAATATTAGGAAAATATATTTTTTCAAATATTTTTAGCTTCTTTTATAGAGCTGTATGTCCTTCTATGGTGCTTAATGTTTATTTACTGCTATTTACGTATAAAATTAATCTGTTTCAAAGTTACCCTTTGTGTCCAAAGTTACCCTACACAGACGGGGTTATTTTAGGACAACTTTAAAGTGCAATAATTAAAGTTTTTCTACTTTTTCTCTGACTTGTCTTATGAGTTGCAGAAGTATATATTTATATTTATATCTGTTTGTATACCCCAACGATGAATAAAGATTTATTTATAAATTTATTTATTTATAATATATATATTTCCTTCGGCCACACACACGCTTTACCCAACCCCTGAGAACGACCCGAAAGTACAGCGTAATAGACTTTTAAGTAAAAAAACATAGTTTTGAGAAAAAAGAACAGCGTAATAGACTCTATAAAACATAGAGGGCTTTCTGTGTTTGGTGAAAGAACATCAGCAATATCTGGGCTATCATTAACTGCTAGGCTTTTTAATGAGTGTTTAGAGTCCAAAAAGCTTGGACAAAAAACAAAGCGCAATCTTGTTTTCACCAAAAAAAAGCAATGTTTCCAATGTTACCGATCTTGCGGTAATATTACGTAATATTACCAATATTACCGCGGTATGAAACGGTATAAAAGTTAAAAAGGTATGAAACAAACTGCACTTCTGCTACTCCCACCACACTCAAAAATCGCAACCCATTCAGCATTCGCGCGTCTTATCGCAGTAATTCCCCCCTCCACAGCATCCTCCTCCATTCATCCCCACCACCGTTAGAAAAAAGCGAAAAGCGACGATTTTCAGAAAAGTCGCACCCACACAAGCAACATCATGAGCGATTTCCGCCAGTAGCGCGCAGGAAGTCGCGTCAATCGGTCGGCAGGAGTAAAAACTTAAGAAAATGCAGGAGCGAATGTCGGGTTAGGGGTTTATAGCGCGGGAACGTTTGAACTACCGCTTCTGAGGACCAATGTGATTTTTTTCGAGAAAAGTGTGAAAATGATCGGGAAAAAAATGTTTTTTTCTGGAAAATTTGTAGTGGTGACTTGGTGAGTAATTATTATTTTTGTTGGTACATTATTACAGATAAGGATTGATAATTTTGTATTTTGCTCCTGTTAATTTATATCTATCTACAAATTACAATTTATTTACCGTATTTGGTACAAATTATCCAATTAGGTGTTGTCGATTCCTATGACTGATCTGTAAATTTTAATAATAGTCGTAGTATTAATTAGTGTGTTATTTGGTGTTATTGTTATTATCAATAATCGGTGAAAAGACTGACGAAACAGATACTTTTAAAAAATCTGTATTATACTTATACAGGGTTGTTCCTCACATACGACACGGAGTATTATAGCTAAACGGTTAGATTTTTACAAATTGTAAGTTTTGTCTCCGTTGAAACACTATTAGAGCTACAATTTAAAAATATTTTTACAACATACAGAGTGTCCCAAAAAAGTAAAGAATATTAGTTGTGTTTTTTTTTAAATGGAACACCCTGTATATTATTCTATTTTTAGATTCTACAATTGAAATAAAGGTAAATTTGATTAAGGTTCACTTAAACCTTACCCATTTTTAAAATATTTTCAATTTTATAAATAATTGCAGTAAAAATTTTAAGGATTCATTTTTCCAAGGGTATCAAAGTTTTTAATACTAAATATTTACTGAAGTTTATTTATTGATCAGATATTGTGTTGCAATAATACAAATTATAGTACCTTATACAGAGTGTCCAAAATTTCTATTAAATTATTACTAGTTTTAAACGGCAATAACTTGTATAATTTAAATGGAACACCCTGTATATTTTACGTGAATCAGATGCACCATGTAATTGTCTATCAGAATGTATTATACCATTTTGTACCCATCTCTTCAAGTTTTCGTAGAAAATGTATTTTCTAATAATTTAGATGAGCTTTTTTTATTAAAGTAATAATAATTAATAATTGTTAAAGTAAATTAATTTATTGCATATAAACTACTTAAAACAATTATCGCATATTTTCTAAAAAAATATTAATTTCAAAAACAAGACACCTTGAATTCTCTGCATTCTCTTCTTCATGCAATTCTTAGTCGGCTGACTGTTTAGTGGCAGTTGTTTTAGTGGCTGACTAAATAGAGACGCGAAAATATTAAATCGAAAGCAGTAAGTATTTTTAAAATATTTAAATACTTTATACTGAAACGCATAGTTTTCCCGCGCTCGTAGCCACGGCTGAATATTTTTTGTGTTTAGAGGATGTTTGGCCATTGCAATCTGTCTGACTGATTAAATACAACTTTATAATAGCTGTCTTAATAACATGTAAAAATCAGACATGTAAAAATAAGTAAAGTTCGTTTATTTCTTTTAGTTATCTTTCTCACCTGAAACACGCCGGTATTCAAAGCACATGAGAGCACTGCTAAGAGCCTAATGTTTCATCCTTTTGAAAATAAGTTATGTCTGATCGCTCTGGGATCTTACTCTATTAAGTTGGTTTCCACTCGGGAAGCAGAACGGTTCTGATCCAGTTAGTAGAGTGCTCCTTTTCTAGCTAGACATTTTGCCTTTTATTTATGTCCGACTGGAAATAACAATTATAAAAAGCTTAAATTATGTATTTCCCAAATTAAACAACCAAGAAACATAACAAAAACAATCTACTAAATATATGTTTCTTCACACCCCACACTTTAGCTAATGGCCATAAAAATAGAAAAGACGGAAAAAAGTAAGTGAACTTTAAATATAGGAAATTTATTACAATTTAAATGAAAATAAACTTGGCTAGGAAAGAGATTTAAGATTGGGCCGGATTACAAAAAACGTCTAAACATTCGAAACGAATGTGGGTGCCTATCCTTGTGCATTTTTTTGGTTCAAAAATAAATGAAAAATATAAAAAAATAATCAGGATAAAGTATAAAAATAAATAAACATCGAAATTAAGAAAAAGAAACAAATTTTATTACTTAATTATAATATTTTTTTAAACGCCACAAAAGTATTAATTTTTGAGACGTGATTGACAATACAGGGTGTCCCCGAAATAAGTGCAAGTATTTTAACTGGTAGTATAGTTCAACCCCAGAAACACGCTTTTTTTCAATGAAAAAAAAAATTTGAAAATTCAAAATTTTTTGAAAATTTTTTTGTATTTTTTTAGTTTTTAGTTAAAAAACATAATTTTTTGATAATATGGCAACATAGGTATTAGATTAAATTTACAAGAAAGAAAATCCAGAAAAGATCCAGTGGTTGGTTCTCAAAATTTTAGCAAAAAATATTTTTTTTTGGAAATTTTCAAAGTAAAATAACTCCGTTATTTTGGACTTACTATTTGAAAAACGATAAAGAGAAAATATGTTTCTTTTATCGAGATCTACCACCCCTTAAAATATTTGCACTTATTTCTGGGACACCCTGTATAAAAAAGTATTAATTTTTGCGACGTGATTGACAATATAAAAATATCATTTTAACGCCTAGGCACAAAAGTCTGAAAATTTATTATTAAACTGACATAAAATGTCAAATTCAACGAGCGTAACCATAGTTTTTCGATTAATTATATACAAGGTATTACTTTTAAATCTTTTTATATTATTTGGAGCGCTTGAAATTGTTTAAAAAATTATTTGTGGCGTTTGAAAAAAAATAGCATGTTCTATTCGGAGTAAAAATGACTTTTTGTACCTCGGCTGTATGTCAAACGTACAGCTTCGCCACGAAAAGTGTCATTTTTACTCCTAATAAAACAATATACTATATTTTATAATACAATATGATTGAAAAAAAGCGGCGTCAGCGATCGCTAGGAAATGAAGATCCCTATCATTTTATACGTAAAATTATATGGGGAATGTCATCGATCGTCATTTCCTCATCAACTGGACGCCGTTTTTTTTCGATCATACGGTATATTTAGACATTTAGATATTTAAATCCCCGTTTAGGCTACTCTACTAATAGTAATCGTTAGCTAAAACAAAACCACAGATAAGAAAGTTATCTGTGATGGAACTAATAAAGTTGAAGAATTTCTTGTCAATAAATAAATGCCATATTCATTATACCACAATTGTTAACAGCATAAACAAACAATATCTTAAAATAGCAAATGATGTGTAACTATTGAAAAATTCAATTAGCCCAATAATCTGATGTATTTCTGTCTATAGCATTACCACAGATAACATAGAATAAGTTATCTGGAATATAAACATATAACAAAAAAAATGTGAAATAGGTTTTTGATCAAAGAACAATTTAGATTTCTTTCTTTTAGATACCGTATGATCGAAAAAAAACGACGTCCACTTGGCTTACTACTACAAAATGAGAGTGATCTTTATTTCCAACACATATATGACGCCGTTTTTTTTTTCATCGTATGGTATTTTTAAACTCTCTTTCTAAGATTCACAGTAATCTCACTGTAATTCATTTTCTGACACAATGTCTTTCCAGATTTAAATACTTTGTATAAAATAAGCAACAATAATACCATAAAATAATCTCAGAAAAGCGTGAATATTCAATTTGTTTGTTAAAAATTATGGTAAAGAATTTTAATCAATATATGGTAGGTATATGATTATTTTTATATAGGGAATTTTTAGTTATTATTGAAATTTAATACTATTAATGATTATCAGGGGTTTTATCAGAATGAATCCAAGAAAAACGTAGTGTAGGGATTTTTTTGGATTTTCTCTGTACACCAATAAGGAAAACCCACACATTGAATAATTTTATTATTGCTTAATGTTTTAAAATGTGTCGTTTGTATTCAGCAATGCATGTAACGATTCTTCTTTACTTTTACAATTGTTCAGGCAAGCTACAGCTTAATTATTATTTAAAATACAGGGTGTTCCATTAAATAACGACACTAAATCATAAAAATGAAAATATCTCGGAACTTTTGTCTGCGGGGTAGGTAGCCTTAATAGTATTTTGAAGAGACATGAATTCTCTATTTAATATCGAAATATATACTGGATGTTCCATTTAAAATAAAAGCATAACTTGGCTTTAAAAGTGACCAGTGTTGACTATTAATTTTATCTCACCCTGTATAAATTTTCGGGTCAAGTTTTAACTTGATTTAAAGCAAAATAATTATTTTAACTACACATTAAATTATACCGGGTGAATTCCAAATTGGGTAGCTTTTAATAAAAAAAATTTAAAAATTAATCCTTTATTTTTAGAAAATGTTAAATATGTCACAAATCGTACATTTCAGTCATATGTTTCTCTAATAAAATACACCTTTATTTTTTTCCTAGTATCACAAAATTAATTAATATATAGAGTGTTCCATTACAAAAAAACACAACTATGATGTGTACCATTTTTGGAACACTCTATAGAACTCTATGTAATTTTAAAAATGCTTTTAACCTACATAAGCGCAAAATATAATTTCAGTAGGAACTGTCGTTCTTATAGCACCACCCTGTATAACAAGATATCATTTTTAAGCTGCGAGATGCAAAAATTTGAAGAGAAAATGTTTTGTCTCAAGAGAAATAAGTAAAAATAGAGGAGTTCCGAAGTTTACATCTTGCAATGTTGCCACACGTCATAGACAAATCACTTCTGCGATTTTATCATATTTATGTTGATGTCTATGATTCCTTTTGAAATATATTATTATATAGTTGGTGTTAAGTATTTTCTCTACGTTTTATTAGTTTGTCTCATAACTAAATGACATATTATCTGTCAATAAATTATGTTAATTTGCAATTATTTACTAATATTAAGTGTAAAAAAAATTTCGATGAAACATGGCAATTTTCCAAAATGATTGCCATGAATCGGTTGAAAGAATTCATATGTTATGTCAGATTATTTTATAACATTAATAAAACATGACGAAGCAAGCAAAATAGTCGTAAATTTTTCTCATAAATTCGAAAACAGATTTTTACCGTCATCTAAAGGAAATAAAATCGCATCAAAAATATAGAATGTAAAAAAATGCCATGTCTCGCAATATAAAAAGTTGTGAGATATGAGATATCATGTAAA